CCCACCTAGACTCCTACTGCAGCTGCTGCAGAACTGGCACCGTAGATGCTCCGTGTGGGGCAGAGGCGCACAAACCCCAGGCTCCCAGATGCCTGCACACAGCCCGTGGAAAAGCCACGGGCCTGCATTGCAGGCTGCGGGCTCCCTCCGGAAGCAGAACCAAGTCAGGTCAGTGCTTTAGACAGATGCACGGCATGAGCCTTCTGTAGCCTTTCTCAAAATTGCATGCCCTCTTCTTGCCTTCCATCCCAACCTTCCGTGCTCAGTAGCAAAGGCAGCCTGGCTGAGCCTCACACCAGAATTGACCTTCTCTCTCCAGTGGGGCGGTGGTGAGCACTCCATCACTCCCTGGTCCTGGACCCACCATGGCGCCCTCTACTCCAGGCTGGTCTCTCACCCACTCACGTGAAACCCCACCCACACACTTCCCCAAGCCAAGGAGCAGTGATCACGCAGGTGAGGTTCCAGGCCAAACCTGCCCAGGTCAGTTTGCAGGTACTGACAGATCCTCAGGTACCCAGGCACCAAAGGGGAAAACGTTAGCATCCACTGGGGGACCCAGAGCCAAGGGGAGAGTGTAAAGTGCTTTGGGAATAAATACTGGATTTTATTTCTTATTCGAAAAAACATGCTCAGAGTAATAGTGACATATCTACCTGTCTATGAATCAGGTCCTTCTCAACCAATCTCGACAGCAGAGAAATAAGTGCGCACTGTGTGTGCACGTGCGTGCCCTCCAATCTAAAGGGGAGATTCACTTCCAGGGTGTGGGTTATATTCAAAAGGAGGAGGGAGGGTACCCAGTACAACGGCACTTCAGATTAGTCACCGTTTGCTTTCCCATAATTATACCAAAGCAAACTAATGTATGTGCCCCTAGCAAGCCCCCACACCTCCTAGGAACTTCTAAGCCACAGTCTGCTCTCCAAACCAACAGGCACACCTGTTCGATACGATCCCTGAGTGTCTGATCAGCTGCTCACACCTCCACGGAACTACAACCGCCGACAGCTCAGAATAATGCTGCCTCCCGAGCATTTGCTGCCAGCTGGGCTTGCAGGGGATCCTTTCACTGGCATCAGGTGCATCTAGGCCAGTCTCCTCCAGACAGAGCTCTTTGGAAACACACGTATCCCAGCTCCCGGAGTCAGGGACAATGCGTTCCTGTTTTAGAAATTCAGTGTAGCTGGGGCAAGCCTCCAGGCCCGAGAGCAGGCTCCGCCCGAGGTTCGTCACTCACACACCTTCCCTTCGGAGTGGAACCCTCCCAGCAGCCACTGAGCCTCCAGCATTTCTCTCTGTTTCCTGTCCGTAAAAAATGTAACTCTCGGGGTCTCTCTGGATGAGTTTCAAGATCAAGATAGCCAGCACACAGATGGTCATGTAAACAAATCTTTTGAATGTCTCCGAACGGATGATGGGCGGTGCGTACCCCGGATACAGAAAGGTGTGTCTGCGTCTGGGGACGTGTTTGATGCTCACGCAGCAGATGGGCTATAACTGCAGCTGCAAACTGCTGTTTCACTCGAGTAGGGTGCTGTGTTGGAAGCAAATGAACTTCTCGGCTTAAACTGATCAGGTAACGAAGGTGCTTTGTTCGTATGGAAATAGAAATCTCTGAACCACCAAGATGCTAATGAATTGATTTTTAATTAAAAAAATAATAATAACCCTGACATTTCTGAGAAACCTATCTTCAAACTGTGGATGAGATTAACACCTGAATTTGCCGGGTTGTATCTTCAGAGGTTAGGGCTCCGGAAAGTGGAAACGCATTCTGGGTACAGAGTGGACAGATGTCATATTGCAGGGGCATTCTGGAATTGGAGCGGATCTGTGTCATAGTTCAGATCAATAAATACCATGGCAACCAAAACAAGAACCTAGATTCCCAGCCAATGGCCCTCTTGAGGTATATTTAATATAATAACATGCCAACAGCACACCCCCCCACCGAAATTCAGATCCCTCTGGAGTTTTAGTGTATCTGACTTGTGTCTTCTGCGATCCAAATTATCGTTTCAAGACGCCCATAATTCACTCCATAACCTTCATGCTTTAAGTGTTAAATGGAGACCGAAATTAAGTTTATATTTGAAACAGGAACACTTTGCCTTGTAGATGACTAATGAAATTTGGGACTAATTGACTACTGATGATGAACTGACTCCTATCCAAATCTCATAACATTTTAATGTTCTGCGCCTCGTAATTCTACTCTCCTGGGTCCCTGATCTTCAACACACATAGGCAGCTCCATTTGTATTAGCAGGAAATATACATTAAGATAAAAGACCTCTCTAGACACCTGTGATACCAGAGTAAAATAATTTGATTTTCAGTGGAATGTAATATTAGGTTAACACAGAAATTCCAAGGTGATCTTCTCGTATTAGGAAGGTAAGAATAAGAAATTAAGCAACTTAGATTTTTAGAAAAATGCCTTTTAGACGGCATGTAGAAGTCTTTCCCCCAGCATTTGTTGGGTTGTTTTTGACTATTGCAATTGTTACTACTGCAATTGTTACAATAGTTACAATTGTTTTTGACTATTTGTTGGATTGTCTTTGCTCATTTTAGAGGCAAAAACACAAACATAAGATCGTAATGAAATGTCATGCACATATATAATACATGCGCAGTTTTCTCTGACATTATGGTACCCATTAATAATAAGTGGAAGTTATATAGCACGATTATTCTCTAACTATCAAATAATTTGAAACTCTAAGTTTCCCTTTTTCTACTCAGAAATTAATATCCTCTGATGTCTAGAGTTATAGAAAGAAGAGCTTAAATAGTATCTTGAATTTTTCCTTTCCATTAATGTTTATACCTCCAGAAAAGACATACTCCATTTTCACTAGAACGGATCCATTTTTGGCTAAGAGAAATTCCATGGCTTGGAAGGGCAGAAAGGCATGCTCTCTGTACCTGCTGATCATTCCCTTCGGCGCAAAGCACAGAGCGCGTAGACCTGCTTCGAAGGACCTACGAGACACCCGGGTAAATAAAGCTGAGGGACAGAGACAGCCAACACAAGGGACCCTGTCCTTCTCAGACATCCCTGTGCCTGCTCTCCAGGCTCCAGGCTCCCCGGAGGGGGGGGGGACACAGGGGCTCCTAGCACATCAGTTCTCCGAGTGTGGCCCAGGCACCCTGGGGGCGCCTCTTCCTGGGAGGTGGGGGGGGCGGCACTCAAAACCAAGACGATCACTTATACTCCTAAGGCATTTTTTTTTATTTTGCTTTTTTAAATCTCATTCTCTCACGAGCGTGCCGTGGAATTTTCTGGCTTCACGGTCTGTGATGACATTAGGACCGTCTGGAGCCAGAGGGACATTCAAGAGATCGGCATGTCAACCATTGCTACCCTTCCACTAAAACTTGTTTTCTGTTTTAGAAGACAGAACTGCTCTTCATTTCTAAGTGTTCCTTATGTTCACAAGCCATGGGTTTACCATTTTATTTTTAATGAATGAACCAGTAAACCTTTTTAAAATGTCTCCGTATCAATTTTGAATATGGGAACCATTCATGATATAGCCAATATAAACAAAACGTCTCTGCGGTCCTCGAGAATTTTTAAACATTAAAAGGAAGGTGTGAGAACAAACGTTTTGAGAATGGGTGCCGTAGGGGCGTCTCCGAGGAGTCTTTTAGCCACGAAGCCCCGTGACTCCAGAGCTGTGAGGTTCTAAGGAAAGGAACTCCAGTGAGGACACGGACACGACTCTGTGAACCAGGAGAGCCGGGGAGCTCCTACATGGCAGGCTGTCCCCCTCCCCCAAGGCACACAGAGCGGACCGGAAGAGCCCTGGGCATCAGGAAAGCCTCGTGAAAGAGCCTATTTCCTTCTCCACCCTCCCTGCCACCTCTGATCAAGACATCGTTGGGCACCAAACCCTCTCCTTATTGATATAACAACCTTTCAGCCCGGGGGTCAGCACCCTGGCCCTACCTAACAGGATGGCCCCAGACAGCTGGGTGAGAGCAGAGTGCAGGTGCGTACAGTACAGAGGAACATTCTAGTACCTGAGTTTTGCTCAGGCCCCAGCTCAGACTCGGGACAGAGCACCCCAAGCCGTCCAGAGGCCCCTGAGGAGTCTTTACGGCTGGCGTGGGAGCCTGGCACTTCCCACAGCGGGGTGAGTCGGCGCCCGCCCAGGTCTCTCCAGAGGGAAGCAGGGCCAGAGGTCCACCAAGGGCAAGTTCACTTTATAATGCACAAAAAGTGAGGGCGCCCAGACTCTAACCTCACCGGAACCGCAACCGAAGTCCTCAGTGCCCCCCGGGCATTTTTTCATTATTACGAGTCACCCTCCATGACAACCCCTTGCTCCCGGCTGTCTCCCTCCCAAGTCCAAGTTCTTTCCATTGCGGGTCACATCCCAGCTCTTCCCCGCTGAGCCTCAGTTTCCCCTTCCTTCAAATAGCATCCTTCCTACGCTACGTTTGAGGTCAGGGCGGAGACTGGAGTCCCAGGACGCAAACACTCCAGTCTCCTCCGTGTGCTCCCACTTTCCGGTGAGTGACTGCAGGTCACTCCCTGACCCTTGTCCCTCCCCGGGGACCAGCACGGGGCTCTGTGTACGGGGAGGCCTGAAGCAGACTTCAAAACCTCCTTTAAGGAGCCAAGCACTTCACAGTTTTCAGAGCATTTATCTCATTTGATCTTATTTTATCCTCACAACAACCGGGATGGTTCTCACCCACCCTAATGAAGAAAGCAGAGGACTATATTTGCACTGCCATTATCACGTTGCCCAAAAGGGGAGTCCTCCGTTGCGGAGGAAACTGCTCCTGCCCCTGCACGGAGCCGGCTCCGTTTCCTTGGTAAACAGACCACGGTGCCCACAGAGTCTCGCCGAAACCCACTCGGAGCCGAAGCGCAGACACAGAGGAAGCTGGCCTCTGCGGGAGGCATGCTCCCCGCCCGCGCTCGCCCAGGGCTGCCGGTGGGGAAACGGGAAGTAGCTGGACTACGCACGTGGTCTTACCATTCTCGCCCGGTGTCTTGTCTTTTCCGTTGGTCGCCCCGGCGCCTTGTCGCTACAGGCATTAAAAAAAAAAAAAGGAAAGAAAATGTTATCAGATATATTCAGAATTATTTTGTGCCTTATTGTTTCACAGATCTCTTTCATGGTATCAAGGTCTGTGTTGCTTTAGCTAAGGGTGGGTAAATGCAGGTGCTTATGAGACCAGGGAAGGAAATGATCCCGTGAAGTGGCCGAGCCAGCCTCCCTCGTCCCTAGCAAGGGACAGCAGATGAGACACTGTTGTTGACGAGCATAACCTCGTTGGAAATAGGAGGGAACCAGCCGAGGGCACGAACCAGTGAGACACTCGGAACTGTCACCTGGGTCAGCAGTGGCCCTCACACTCCTCTATTCTCATTCTGATCACAGCACCCAGTGTCTTACTGAATAAATTTTAAGCAACTAAAAAACTTAAGTTGAGAGTCACTTTTTTAAAAGATTTTATTTATTTATTTGTAGAGAGGGAAGGGAGGGAGAAAGAGAGAGAGAGAGAAACATCAATGTGCGGTTGCTGGGGGTCATGGCCTGCAACCCAGGCATGTGCCCTGACTGGGAATTGAACCTGTGATGCTTTGGTTCACAGCCCACGCTCAATCCACTGAGCTACGCCAACCAGGGCAAGAGTCACATTTTTTCTTATCATAAAGTAATTTTTCTGCTATCATTTATGCCTCTCCTGTGCACGTTTGCATTACCTGGTGACCAGAAGTATAGAGATTTCACGGTTAGACCTGAATGCTTAAGCTAGGTGGTTTGCATGTGAGGAGCTGTGTGAAAGGGGTTACACAGGTAAACACATAAGCATGTTTCCTCGTGGCTATTGAGCTACTGCTTTTAATAACGTGATGTTCTGAATTGTTCTAGGTCAGGGAGAGAAAAGTAGTTTATCCATCAAATGTTCCAGTAGTTATCAGAAAATATGCTTTAGCCCTGGCTGGCGTAGCTCAGTGGATTGAGTGCGGGCTGGGAACCAAAGTGTCCCAGGTTCGATTCCCAGTCAGGGCACATGCCTACGTTGCAGGCCATAACCCCCAGCAAGCGCACATTAATGTTTCTCTCTCTCTCTCTCTCTCTCTCTCCCACCCCACCCCCCACCGCTTCCCTCTAAAAAAATAAATAAATAAATAAAATCTTTTTTTTAAAAAAAAGAAAATACGCTTTAAGTTGAAGAGAATTGAAGAGATGTAAAGTCTCTAACTTTTAGGTGAAAAAACCATTAAAGCCAGGTAGCAAGACTGATTGGTCCAAGGTCATGGTCAAGACCAGAGACGGGACTTCCTTGCCCAGAGGTCAGGGTCGTGCAGGACCTGTTCTTGTTACGTAACTATCTGCATAGTGCCTTGGGAAGAGTGGCAGAGCACTGGACAAGGAGAAAACCGCTAGAGGTGACTCCCACCAGGGAATAAAAGTGCCCTCAAAATGTATATTTTAGTCCAAGACTTCAGCCCCAAAATAATACCAAGCAATAACACTCAGTTCCTCAGTTCCCGTTAGTGTTCAGTGTTGTCATGAGAAACTCCCAGGCCCCTTAGTCGACCTTCATCGGGGAAATGCTGCTTTCGGGTTCTGAGCAGTGTGAACAAGTAGGGTGAATGGTTAGGACTTTTGTTAGTGCGGTTAACCTTCCTGTGCCTGCGTATCACCTTGTGCAGATGATAACCCGGGAGAGACAAAGTCAAGTCTCCCGCTTATTACCAGCCCCGGTACACAGGTGTGGGCACACGCCCCATCCCAGTCACTGCGGAGTGTAAATGCGCCCCAGGTCTGCCCCATCCTGAGAGGGTGGGACCCCTTCTCTCCAGCAGGAAGTGGAAGAAAGGGTGGCAAGTTGGAAGGTTTACATCACTGTGGGTCCCTTGTCCACATTTAAGTTGGAACACCTGAAATCTTCAGAATGCTAGATCTTTCCTATGTTCCCGTGGAGGAAGAAGGTTCTTAACCAAACATCAATTGTTCTTCAACACACTCCAGTGTGGTCCCCACGTCACGGCCCCATGTGCTAAAGTGCCCAACCTGTAACACACGCTGTCTTCATTGAATCCAAACCACGCTTTTCTTAAAGAGAGGAGATGCACCAGTAAACACGCCCCTTTCTTCTTGCCTGTGTTATTTTTATAGCTCCTTCTTTTCCAACACAGAGCAGTAAGTTCAAGTTCGCTGCACTCGATGGAAATCTGATCACCATGGCAGAGGATCAGGCGGCAGCACAGCAGCTGTTGGCGATATTCAAACCCTCCACCCTTCCCCACGTGATGTGTAGACGGCTCATTAAAGAAAATCAAATTCCACGAAATGAAAGCACAGTGTTCTAGAGTTGAATAGAGTCCCATTAAACAGCTTACAAGTGCGAAATAGGTGCGCACTCAACCCCACGGTCTTTAACTACCTTAAATATTGATACCTTTCAAATGTCATGAATACTTCATTTCATAAAAGACTTTTTAGAAACCTGAAGAAAACCAAAATTGAAATGCACACAGGGGAGAAAAAGGAGTCCTTTTTGCAGGATTTCTAAGACGGGGTTTTTGTGCCAGATCGCATCTAAAAGATGCAAAGTACAGCCGAGAGGCGTCATAAGGAGGTGGTGTGTCAGACCAGACAACGATCCTGACAGAAAAGAACTAGCCATTGAAAGCATTTTTTTTCCGAAATTCTTTGAGACCTTGTGACATTTTTCAGGTAAGGCTGAGAGCATGGGGGAATCATCCAAGAGCGTTCCTGACCCCGGGGTCTTGGTGGTCCACACACGACTGTTTTATCACCAGGTGAGGCGGTTGAAATTGCCCTGAATCGGTAAATGAAGAGGGCCCAAGTCAGGCTGCTGTCGGGGGTGGGGGGACGAGGTCGCAGCTCACACGTGCAGCGGCAAGATGTGTTCCACAGGCCCTCGAGCACCATCAACTCAGAATTCTGACAGTGTCCCTGACGAGGGACACACCGCCCTTCTCCTCATCAGCCCCCTGTACAGGCTGCATCCTACAGCACAGAGAGGACTCGATCGAGGTCATGCAGCTGGGAAGTGGTGGACTCGTAACCCCAACCCAGAGACCCGGGCTCCGAAGTCTTCCCTTTAAACCCCCAAACCTGAGCATCTCCCAGTATCTCCCGAGGGCCTCCCTCAGCAGGTGGGGAGAGTCCTGTGTGAGGGTCCACGCAACTTCATAAGCACCCACAGAGAGTTTAAAGGACACTTGACTTACACAAAGCAGCAGAGTCAAACCAACGGTGCAGGGGTCAGTGGTAGAGTTGCTGTGAGTCTTTCACGAAATTTAAATAACAACAAAAAAAAACCCATAGCTAGGCTGTGCCGAAATGGATGGAGGGATGGGTGGATGGATAGATGGATGGATGGATGAATGTCATTCTCCAAACGTCCAGTAGGGAAAAGGTTCTTTTTCACAAGATGATAGAAGTTAGAGCACGGAGGGAGAAAGCTGCATTGTCCCTCCACCCACTCTCATCGCCAAGTGAGAGAAAACCCCGCCTCCTCAATCCATCAGCCCCATCGTGAGCTCAGCATCCTGAGAACCTGTGTTACCTACTGAGCAGGAGAATATCACGTCTTGGAATCTGTCTGATAAACAAAATGAAGTGTTAAAGGGAAAAGACATGATAAACTGCCTTCAGGACAAACGCTGATACGAGAGTCTGAGTGCCAGGCTCTGTTCTAAGAACTTCAGAAATTATTCCGTGACATCATGAATACCACCACCGGGTCACTCAGTTTACATATCAACCCAACTTAGTACGTTAGGGCGTGCAGAAGGCTGGAAGATGCTCTCTGATCAAATACACCATCACAGTGACCAGGCTAAAGCTAATGTGTGGAATACACTGTCCAAATTACCTAGAAAACCAGCACACAAGCATGCAGAGCTTCCTACATGGGCATCCCATGCACTTTCATCCGCAGACTTCGCTCCCATGTTTTCAGACGGATCCGGAGCACCCATCACCCTGGCCACGGAGAGCGACGGTGGTTGGCACACAGGGCCTTTTGCTTATTTCTTCTTTGGTGGGGGAACAAGTGGATGCAAAAAATCTGCAGTTTAGTGTCGCAGGTTCAATTCCCAGTCAGGGTACATGCCTGGGTTGCAGGCCATGACCCCCAGCAACCGCACATTGATGTTTCTCTCTCTCTCTCTTTCTCCCTCCCTTCCCTCTCTAAAATTAAATAAATAAAATCTTCTAAAAAAATCTGCAGTTTCAACACAGCAAAACTGGAAATGGGAGCTCTCCTGATAGTTATGCTTCCAGAAGAATCTCACCTTGTTTCTTGTCGTCTGCCCCTGGTCATGGCACCTGACACGGATGTCCCCACTGAGGCCTTCTGGTCAACCCGAGCTCCACTTCCCCCCTAAATGTTGCATGCATAAGACACTCCTGTTTGGGACCCTCGGAGACACCTGGCCCCACACAGACCTAGCACCTTCTTCCATGTGCTCCTAAGGGTCTAGGAAAATAAGAGCCCCTTCCTTCTTCAGCTGTCTGATATCCGAGTCCCTGCAGAGTGAGCTGGCTCTGTGTCTGTCTGCCTCAGGCACACGGGCGTCCCCTCCTCAAACACATCCAGACAACATCATTCCCGGGACCTCTGGAAGAAACCAGGGTCCTGAGTGAGGAAAGGTATTCCACTCAATTGACCCTGAGAATCACAAATAAGAAAATTCCTCAGGTCCTCAGAACACAGACACATTTTCTCAAAACTTCCTCTTTTTAGATTCTCCCCATTTCACCACTAGGAAATGCTAAATCCCCGTCTAAGGACGTGGCACAGGAAGTTAAAATCACAGCGTTCCAGGAGCCCTCATCTCCAGTGCAAGCTGGGGCTTGCATGCATGCCAGGGGTCCACTGAGTGGAGGCCCAGCCGGCGGGCACACCTCTCAGACGCGCACCAGGCGGCACGCTCCTCGCTTCCTTCCTCGGTGATGTATACTAATAACAAGGTAGCATTTCAGAATTTAATGAGCCCCCAATTAAAAGGAGCCTAAATAGAGAGTGAGTATGTGATA